GATGGGCAAACACATGTACATTGTATGTATGCAAGCAGAAACAGAAATTCGAAGGATATAGGAAATGCATCGTAGCATTCGATTGCTCGCAGGAAGCAAACAATTAATATCCAGGTGGGAAAATGGAGGCACAATGGCAAGAAAAATAGAGAACGCGCACAGGTAAATAATAAAGTGCCATTAACTCTGCCCTCAATAGTTTGCTGTTCAGTTCACAAAAGAAGCTAGCTACAAACTACAAACTCTGCTGGCCAAGTCCTCGTCGTCGTCCCTCTCTTTCACCCGCTCTCTCGCTCCATCGCGCTCCATCTCGCTCGGCTGTTGCAATGGTGGCGTATACGTAATCTCGTAGTTCGCTTCGCGCCTCCGTTGTTGTTGCTGTATTATTATTATTTCTATAATATTTGTTCTTGCCGTTGTTCAGCTCGCAGTCGGGTTTATATGCAAGTGGCGTTCAAGGATTTCGGTGTGAAAGTTGTTGAACCTCATGACTGGCAATTAGAATATAACACTGGCTCTATATAGGCGCACACTTGCCGTTGCAGTCAGTGGCAGTTGGAGCTGCCGTACATGGCATAATGCATCGATGGAAACACACGAGGAAGTCGACACCCTCGCTCCACAAGGCATTTTTCCATTGCTCGTACTGCAATCTTGTAAATAAGTTGGGCTGTAATTCAGCCAGCAATCTGAGCAATCACACTCAGTCCTGCTAATTAGGAGCATTTCTTGGACTATAAGGAGCAGGCAGCTTCTCGTCCATTCTCCGCCAGGCTTATCCTGTATCCTAGCATCTGGCTACGCCTGCCAAGCGGCAGCAGTCTCAGTTACACACGACACGCTCCTGGTATCCATGGCGATGCTAACAAGGTGCACTGCCACCCACTGGACTTGGACAATTGGCCCAATTTGGTTCCTGTTAATAAGCTAGCTGCATTCGCGAATGCCAAACAAATAAACAAACGAGCGAGCGAGCGAGCAGAGCGCTCAGTGTGTATATGCGCTATATGCATTTCCAATATCAGCCAAGGATATTCGGCTGCTAAGTCCACATGACCTTCTAAAGTTGGTTGACTCTAGATGCCGTGCAGGCGCGTCTGCAAAGGGGCTGTGCTTTCCGGGGGTGCGAAAGGGGCTGCGAAAGGGGCTGCGACAGGGGGTGGGGATATGCGCACCCCTTGCTCGCAGAGTAGGGTGTTCTAGATTCGTTGCGACATACAAGTTGTGGGCATACAAGTCTTACTCTTCATCGGGATCTATTCGTCGTCTGTCCGTATCTCCGTTTGTCCGTATGAACGTCCGTAGGAACGCAGATGCCTGCAGTCCAGTGAGAGAGCAGCGGGTATCAGATAGTCGAGTCGGTCGCCCTCCTTCCTCTTGTTTTCGATTAAGCAACTGCGAACTGCGAAATTTGTGCAGTGCAAATTGCAGAGGGGCGGGGGCCCATGGGCCATGATGCAAGCGATTCAGATTCGGAGGCACAGAGAGCAGCACTCAGCGAAGCAGCGAGAGCGACAGAGAAGGAAAGAGGGAGAGCAAAGCTCTGAGCCATGTGCACTTGATGCACAAGTGTTAGATGCCATTCGTGGGCCAAGAGCAGCCAGCTGCCCCAGCAGCCACACTACAAAAAAAACAAAACGCCTGCAACATTGGCCGCAACCAGCGGACAACAGGATCGAACATACAGTCTGGAACCTTAGATTATCTTTAGGACACCTGCGTTTTTCCGAGTGTGGCAGCAAGCTTTCGAAGGCAGCCAGGAAAACCCACATTGCAATCCGCATGTTGCCGATGTTGCTGCTGCGCTGCAGAGCTCTTGGGCGCTTGTTTTCGATTTCTGCTGCTGCTTCGATTAGTATGTTAGTTGGGTTTCTCGAGCAGTGTCTCTCGCTTAAGCTCTCGCTGTTCTCGGTTCTCAGTTCTCAGTTCTCGGTTCTCAGTTCTCGGCGATGAGCGCCGAGTGCGAGTGCTCAACTCTCTGGGCCTGCGGGTCTGGGTCTGCTTGACAATTTCGCTACGCGGCTGTTTTGGTGGCTGCCAGTTGCACATTTCCGTTATATCCGTCAGCCAGCAGCAGCAGCAGCAGTCGCAGCCAAAGCCAGCGCGCACACACTGCGTATGAGTAATATTCGCTCAGCGAAATCAGCAACCTACCAAAAATACAGCCCAAAAAATAAAAAATGCCCAATTAATCACGAGACTCCGCACGAGAAAGACCAAGAAAAAAAACAAATGCAATAATCAAAGAAAAGTCACAGCCGAAAACTTGAACAACAAATAAATGAACTAAAAAGCAACAAAAAGCCCCAAAAAAGAGTAAGTGCAGCGCTGCCAACGGCGACGGCGACGCGGCAGCGGTTCGGGCTTTGTTTTGGCTTCAGTTTTGGCCCAGCAGCTTCGACTTCAGTTCGATTCGTGATTCGTGACTCGTGGTTAGTGTTTGGTGTTTGGTGTTTGGTGTTTGGTGTTCGCTGGTCCGCAGCTCCTAGGGCGCGCAAAGGAATCTCGCGCAACCTGCAGAACAGTACATGCATCTAAGTATATGCGCTATATTTTTTTGAAGTGAGTTCCAAGACTTGAGTGCTTGCTTACCATGTGGCTGCCACTGGCGCCCGCGCTGGCCCACTGAAAGAAAGAGTGCGAAAACCAGGCCGAAATCAAAGCTTGCGAGCAAGCAGCAACAACAACAAGACGTCAGGCAAACAGCAGCAACAGCAGCAGCAGCAACAGCAACAGCAACAACAACAACCAGCTATGCCTGGCCCGGCTTTGTGGTCCGGTGAGTGTTTATTTCAGCCAGAAAGCGCGAAAAGCGCAAAAAGCGCAGATCCCAGCCAAGTCGGGCTTGCAGATGCCGTTGGAGATCGCGAGCAGCTCTCTCGTGGGCAAGAGAGTCGCTCTGCAGCGCAAGCTGCACTTCCGCATGCCATCTCTCTTTCGCCAGCGATCCGTGGCTCCAGAACGCAGCGGTAACAACAATAAACTTTCACTTTAGCACCGCGCGCGGTGGCAGAGGGGGCGGAGGGGCAGAGGGGGCGCAAGCTGTTGGCCAAAGGCTTCCTGGCATTGCAACTTGCAGCGGCGGCGGCAATTGCAATCAGGTCTTAACACATTTTGCCGCCGCTGCTGGGCCGCTCATTATAAAGTCGTAAGCCATTTGCGATGTGTGAGTGCGAAGCGAAATGTCAGTGAGCAATAAGGAAATGAAATGTGCGCCAAACAATTATTGCACGTTGTTGCTATTGCCACTGTTGTTGCTGCTGCTGCGGCGGCTGCTGCTGGCAGCAGTTGAAATCGAAAGTGCTTTCAGACAATGGTCAACGAACGTATGGAAAGGGCATTAGAGAAGTGCCGAATGCTGGTGTGGGTGCAATGCAAAGGCAAGCGGAGAAGTGAATAGTAGTGAATAGCGAATAAATAAGTAATGCGAGACGTGAGCCACATTGCTTTTGGCCATGTCGAAATTCATGACATTGCTTCTACTGCTCGGAGTTGGGCTGTCTGCTGTCTGCTGTCTGCTGTCTGCTGTCTGCCCGCCGCTTGTCCGCGAAATTGGCGTTGTCCGTATGTCCGTAAGTCCGTTTACCGCTGCTCCACCAAAGAACTTATGCGCTTGTCCGCCGTTGAACGTGTCCACTGCCTCACTAGTCCTTTGTCCGTCTAAGCCCCATCATCCTGGTCCGCCTTCCTCGTTTTCTGCGCCAGTTGATCCCCATTGCTGCCGCTTTTACTGCTCATGCTGCTGTTGCTTTGCTTTTCCTCAGCTCCGCTGCGCTGTTCGCTCGCGACGTTGCGCAATCGCTTGTCATTGTCCATTGTTGGGTTGCTGTTGCCGTTGCCGTTGCCGTTGCTCTAGTTCGAATTAACTTTTACCTTTCCACAGACGGCTTCAGCCGCCTCCCCGCCCCTCGCGCCGATCGCAGAACTTCATTGCCACAGCGGCAAGGCGGTGGGTGGTGGGTGTAGGAGGCAGAAAGCCTCAGAAAGCCTCAGAAAGCAGGAAGCAACAATCTGTGCTGCAACTGCAACACGGCAGCTCGCTCTCTTGCGGCGGCAGGAAAAGCTTTTGCTGAGCAGCCCCTCTGGACTCGTGCCCCAGCGCCCCTCCTCCTCCAAATCCTCCCGGTGGAAAGTGCATTGGCACAGTTTCGCTCGGCAGGCAGCAAGAAGAAGGGTGCTGGGTGCTGGGTGGCGCCTCCTCGCAAAAAGGCGAGTTAGCATGGGAGTTGGAGCTTTTCGGGGGCAGCTGGGAAAGCTCCCCCCTAATGGCAGTGCCCCTGCCTCCAGAGTGCTGCCCCACCCCCTGGAAAGACGCCCCTAAGCTGGCCGGTCAACGTCCACACCAACACCAAGTACACCCACACACAGGCGGCACACACTCAATGCAACTTGTGCTGCTGTTGCGCTGTTGTTGCGCTGCTGTTGCGAGTCAATTCTAATTTGAATGCAGTGCTTAGATAAGGGAGCGAGGGAGATGGCGCTAGAAGGGCACACCAGCGACGGGAGAGAGTGAAGTTTAGTTGCAGCTAGAATGCAGTTGCAGTTGCAGTTGCGATTGCAATGAACCCTAGTGGGAGTGTGTGGGTGGAAAGGAAAGACTGCCAGAGTGCGACAGAGAAAGAGAGAGCGAGGGAGAGGGAGAGAGAGTGAGCGAGAGAGTGGGAGAGAGAGGTGGACACAAAACGAGCCTTGTGCCTCTGCTGGCGTCTGCGTCGCTGCCAAAGCATAACTATGACGTCGCCGCTGCCTGCCGAGCGTGCCTGTGTGTGTGTGTGTGTGTGTGTGAGAGAGTGAGTGTGCTTTCAGAGTTTTTGTTCGTTTTGTCTATTGGTTTTCATTTTCGTTTGCTGCCGACGTCGACGCTTCTAATGCTCGATCGCGATAGACGGAGAGAGGTAGAAAGAGAGAGAGAGAGTGCGAGCGAGTAGTGGAGCCAGTGGGCGGGAGGGGGGAGTCGACGCCTGCGCCGACTGCGGCGCCGGCAGCGGCAGAGGCAGCAGCAGCGTTTCGTGGCTGCTGCTTTCTTTCGCTCGCTTACTCCTTTCATTTCACTTTATTTCGTTCGCATGCACGCACGTTGGCCGCGGAGCAACATCTCCAGCAAACAGAAACAGAAACAGAAACCGAAACCAAAACCAAAACCGAAACAGAAACAAAAAATAATACATGAAACGTAAAAAAACCAAACGAAGCTACAAATACAAATAACAAAAAACAAATAACACGGCAGCAGCCGTCGCTCAGACGCGGAACTTGGCTCGAACTATAGTTTAGTTTTGTCAGTTTCAGTGGCCAGTGGCTAAAGTGCGGTGATATCGGGCGAAACGGTTAGCGGTTAACGGTTAACGGCTGACAGCCAGCGGTTCAGTACGCGCCAAATCCTTTTTTTTCAAGTTTGTCACAGTTTCAGTGGTACTAACGAAAAAAAAAAACAGAAAACACATCAGTATATGTAAAGTATAGGCAAGAATCTAAAGCCAAGAGTGGTATGTGCCCCTAGTTTTGACCCAAGACCTACGAGTAAAGACCCCTGACACCCAGAACCAGCCACCCACACACGCATACACACACACACACACACACACACACACACGAACACACTCATTCGCCACCCACACAGTCTCATTTCTCAGCCTCAGTTTCAATCTCAGCTCCAATCTCAGTTCAGTCTCAGTCTCATTTCGAGGATCAAAAACGGAGCAGCAACATCAACCGATTCATTATGTTTACATATTTTTTTCGAGTGACTTAAGTTTTGGCAATGGACGCAGACTGCTTCTCCTTCTAATCGAACCGAACCCAGTGACCTCGCAACATGCTGTAGAAGAAGAAGCTAACAAACAAATGGTTGTTGTGATCAAAAGTGTCGTTTGATATGTGCCTGAAACTCGGTGTGTGCCCAGCCAAAATGGCCCAGCATCGTTCGCTTGTCCGTCTCTACCTGCCCACCTAGAAGCGCTGCCCGCCCAGATGAATGCCCAGCAGCCGCTGATCCTGGAGCCTGGATCCAAGGCCAGCAGTGTTGTTGCGGCAACTGCGGAACTAGAGGCAGCAACTGCCACCGGATCGCTGGCCACGGCCTCGGCCACGGAGGCTTCTGCAGCGGACAGCTATACCGCCGTGCAGCAGAACGGTGGCCACGAGGAGCAGCGCCTCAATGGCAACCATGGTTGTCGACGCGAGCAGCCGGAGGATCGGCCGGATCGGGCGGATCAGCCGGAGCAGCCGGATCAGCAGGATGAGCCCGAGCCAGTCAAGGACGTGGCCAACAAGCTGACCATTATCAAGACGCCGCTGAATAAGACTCTGCTCAAGAAGTGCAACAGCAACGGCAGCCTGCAGCTGCCGCATGCCAATAATGGCAGCAGCAACAACGCCAATATTCGCAACAACAGCAGCAACAACAATAGCAATAACAATAACAACAACAACAACAACAATGTGGCCAGCAACGACGTCTGCGATTCCGGTTTGCAAAGCGGAAATAGCAATGAACAAGAACCATTTGCCAACAACGATCGCCATCACCACATCTACCACCACCACCACCATCACTACCATCATCACCACGGCGGCGATAAGAGCGAGGCGAGCGGCGACGTTGCATCCTCGTCCGCCGCGGATCTCGCCATCGCGCAGGTCAAGGACGAGCCCACAGTGCTGGATGGCCAGGACAATCAAGCAGCAGGAGCGGCTGCGGGAGCGGCAGGAGCTGCAGAGGCAGGCGGCGCAACTGCGGCTGCAGCCACGTGCAGCCCCAGCAAGTGCAACAAGTGCAACGCGCACAACAACAACAGCAACTGCAACAATAACAATAATACCATCAGCAACAACAACAATAACAATAATAATAATACAAGCAGCAATACAACCATTGCCAACAACAACAACAACAACAACAACAGCAACAACAATAATAACAATAACCATTACAACAATTACAATAACTATTATAAGAAAAAGTCTCGTATGCCGCCCATTTGCCGTTAGTATTGCATCCATCTATATACTCTATACCCCGTAAATCATGCCTAATCATAAATGCGTAAGACACCACCCACGAGCCACCGCCCAGCCACCCCTGCCACCCACTGGCTTACCCCCAGCGCCTTCCCCACACACCCAACACACACACATTACTTACGCTCTCTCCCCTCTTACCAACAAAAATTGCAGTCATCGAAGACCAAGCCCCCACCCGCCCCCAAAAACAAAAAAGAAGTGCACTAAACTGGAGCAACCAAGAATTGGCCAAGAAAACAAGAACAGAACCGACCCAAAAGCCACCCAAAAACCACCCAACCACCCAACCACCACCCACCAAAAAGCAAAGACCACCCACTGGAATGCGTACTGCCACTGCCACTCCCCTCTGCAGCTCAAGGGGCAGCGGGCAGGGACGGACGCAGTCTAGATGCTTCCCGAACGAGTCACAATAGTACCAAAAATCCAAGCAAATACAAGTACAAAATCAAAATCCAAATCCAAATCGAAATTAAATGAAAAAACGAGAACCCCACAAGTAAACTCAAACACACACAAAAGCAAATGCAAAAGCAAATGCAAATGCAAAGGCAAATGCAAATGCAAATGCAAACTGAGAAAAAATATCGGCAAGAAAAGAAAACCCACAGCAACAAAAACAACAACAATAACAACAACGATCGGCAAACAAGAGAATTTTTTGTTTTTATCCAAATTTGAACAATCGGCAAAGACAAGAAAAAACGAAATTATGACATCCATAGGTAAATTTGTGACTTTAACCCAAACCCAAATCAAAAACACTAACATTAGACACTTAGACACCTAGAATAAGCCACCCCCACACACACACAACTTGAACTCGGAGTTCCCTTTGACCCCTGCCTTTGCCCCTTCTGAAAGCACCACCGATTGCCTAACGACCCAACAAGATACTAATCCATACCACACCACATTGACGGGGCTACCGATCTTCTCCCTGATTCACTACTCGCTTGTATACTATACCATTTTATATTACTATACGAGTTTATTATGTTATAACACATGTTGGCATGTTCTAGTCGAAACCTCAAGACTATTCAAGTTAAGTGCTCTAGATAAGCATTGCATCTTTTACAATCCAAGTTACGAGTGGCACAATCATAGTTGATCCGACATTAGTCACTAATTTCTCAACTTATTCGGTTAGTACGGAGTTAATTAGATGGGTAGCCTATCTATAACTTCCAGTGCGTTCGGGTCGCTTGAATGCAGTTGCGTTTGCCGCTGATCTGGGAAACAGGTACCTGCACCTCCGCGTATCTGCGAGGCACGTATCTGGACGTATCTGAAGTACATATGTATTCAGTTGCGCACACACACACACACAGAGGGGCGAAAAGATATAGGCACGCATGGTTTTATTGTTTAGAATAATCTTGCGCTTGATAATGAAAATAGGTCAAATTTTAAAAATACACACACAAACGACATTGTCGTCGGTGCCGCCGACTGCCGACTGCCCACGAGAGAACTTTTGCCGCTCGAAGCTCATAGTTTATCTCTCGGCGCCGTGTGTGCGTGTGTGCGTGAGTGTGTGAGTGCGAAAGAGATCGCCGTTGGATAGATAGTGGGAGTAGGAAGGGGGAGTTCGAACGGGAGTGGGAGCGGGAATGGGAATGGGAATGGGAATGATCGGCGGCTTGGGGAGATGGAGCAGCCGTAGCTGACCGAATCGGCCAGATAGAGATGGAGATAGCGAGAGGGAGCGAGAGCGAACATAGATAGCTATCGAAAGTTGAACCACACAGGTGCACTGTGGCAAATCCTTTTACCAAGCTGACACCGACACCTTGGTTCCTTGGTACCTTGGCACCGAAAGTACATCTGCTTGTGCTCGTACTTATTGGATTCCAAAATTGAATCGTAGTTATTTCGAAGTACGTTGTATGCAAAGTGTGCATTCATCGGACTTGAATGCTCATAGCTTCACTAATTGAAGACTCCACTAATTGAAGACTACTCCAAAATGTGGTGCATTTTTAGAATCGTGCTTGTCAGCTGAAAACACTGAAATTCACGGAGGTTCGTTAAAAAAAAAAATTTTTTTTTTTAATTTTTATTTTCTTTTTTTTCATCAAAAAGTGCAAAAATTCAAAAAAAAAAAAAAAAAAAAAAAAAAAAAAATTTTTTTTGCCACACATATTTTTTCTGAGCATTTTTCCCTGAAAAAAAAACAAGCTTAAAAATGCTTTCCGAATGGAATTAGAGTGAAAACTGTCCATTTTACAGTGTTAGTGGATTCAGGATTTCAGTGTAGGGCGTTTACAGTGAACAAGTTTGTAGCATACTTTTCAACGCAAGATGCTGGGCAGGACTTGAGCCAAGTAATGGTTGGCTAGCAAACACGTGGAGGCGGTTATCTTCACCCCACCAACGCCGCATGCAACATGTGTTCTCATAAGAAACCTGTTGATCCAAAGACATGTTTGGGAAGAGGGGAGGTGGCTGCCGAAAGCAGCACTCGGAAGATTAAGAGGCAAAGGTGAAGAAAAAACGTTGACCCATTTCGCTGAAAGACCAGACATATATCAAGACGCTCGGTCTGATAGTGCTGATTGATCAAGCTCGTGTAATTAACCGAATTCCTCATATCATATCTTTTTGGCGAGATCTTCGACGTTTCGGTCGCGTTAACCAGTTATTCGCTTGGGGAAGCGAATGCAAATGATTGGTTATTTGTTTGTGTTCCATCAGCGAATCAATCCGAAAAACAAAATTCGGAAAGAAAAGAAACTTCCGCAACCAATTTATGCAAGCTTATTTATGCGTGTCTGAAATTTCCCAAACATAAGCCGTTGTTCTAGAAATTGTATTTACATATATCTGCTTCATCTTGATAGGAAATCCTATTTTATCGGTATAATATCGCTTGGAGTTTGCTGATTTCTTATTAACAATATAAAAATGGCCATTGACAGGGGAGAACGAGGTCTTCTAGAATGTATATTATAAAGTAAGATCCAATAAACGAAATCTTGTAGATTTAAGTCCGCCTGGGATACACGTGTAAGATACATCTAAGTTACGATTAGCCTGCAGACGATCCTCCACATATTGGCCCACAACTAAACCAGAACCATCGTATCTTCTCCCCTCCCTTTTCACCCTCCAGGAATTATGACACTGAGCCGTGGCCCGTACAGCGAGCTCGATAAAATGAGCCTTTTTCAAGACCTCAAACTCAAACGGCGCAAAATCGATTCGCGATGCAGCAGTGACGGCGAGTCCATAGCGGACACGTCCACCTCGTCGCCGGACCTGCTGGCGCCCATGTCGCCGAAGCTCTGCGACAGCGGCTCGGCGGGGGCGTCGATGGGGGGCACCCTGCCCCTGCCCCTGCCGCTGGCCCTGCCCCTGCCGATGGCTCTGCCACTGCCCATGTCGCTGCCCCTGCCCCTTACGGCGGCATCTTCGGCGGTCACCGTTTCGCTGGCAGCGGTCGTGGCGGCGGTGGCCGAAACGGGTGGAGCTGGAACAGCAGTAACAGCATCGGGAGCAGGACCCTGCGTCGCCACGTCCTCCACGACGGCAGCGGCAGCCACATCCTCGACCTCCTCGCTCTCGTCCGCCTCCTCTTCGTCGTCCTCCACGTCCTCCAGCACCTCCTCCGCCTCGCCGACAGCTGGAGCCTCCTCCACGGCCACCTGCCCCGCCAGTAGCAGCAGCAGCAGCAGCAGTGGAAACGGAAACGGGAACGGCAGCGGGGGCAAAAGTGGCAGCATCAAGCAGGAGCACACGGAGATACACTCGTCGAGCAGTGCGATTTCGGCGGCCGCCGCCTCAACGGTGATGTCACCGCCGCCCGCAGAGACGTCGAGATCCAGTCCAGCCACGCCCGAAGTGGGCGGACCCGCTGGCGTCGGCAGTGGAGCAACGGGAGGAGGTGCCACGAGCGGCGGACAAGCTGCTGGAGTGGCCATCAACGAACACCAAAACAATGGCAATGGCAGCGGCGGGAGCAGTCGAGCCTCTCCCGATTCGCTGGAGGAGAAGCCCTCTACCACAACGACCACGGGTCGTCCAACGCTCACGCCCACCAATGGGGTGCTGTCCTCCGCCTCGGCGGGCACGGGGATTTCCACAGGAAGCAGCGCCAAGCTGAGCGAGGCCGGTATGAGTGTGATACGCTCCGTGAAGGAGGAGCGGCTGCTCAACGTGTCCAGCAAGATGCTGGCGTTCCATCAACAGCGGGAGCAAGAGACCAAAGCAGTGGCGGCTGCAGCAGCAGCAGCAGCAGCAGCAGCGGCGGGCCATGTGACGGTTCTAGTGACGCCATCGCGCATCAAATCGGAGCCACCGCCGCCGGCCTCACCCTCCTCCACATCCAGCACGCAAAGGGAGAGGGAACGAGAACGCGATCGGGAGAGGGATCGCGAGAGGGAACGCGAGCGTGACCGTGATCGGGAACGGGAACGGGAACAGTCCATCAGCTCCTCGCAGCAGCACCTCAGCCGGGTCTCCAGTCCACCCACCCAGCTGTCGCACGGCAGCCTGGGCCCCAACATCGTGCAGACGCACCATCTTCACCAGCAACTCACACAGCCGCTGACGCTGCGCAAGAGCAGCCCGCCCACAGAGCACCTGCTCAGCCAGTCCATGCAACATCTCACCCAGCAGCAGGCCATCCACCTGCACCACCTACTTGGCCAGCAGCAGCAGGCATCGCATCCCCAGCAGCAGCAGCAGCAGCAGCACTCGCCCCACTCCCTGGTGCGGGTGAAAAAGGAACCGAATGTGGGTCAGCGGCACTTGTCGCCGCACCACCAGCAACAGTCGCCGCTCCTGCAGCACCACCAACAGCAGCAGCAGCAGCAGCAACAGCAGCAGCATCTACACCAGCAACAGCAGCAGCAGCAGCACCACCAGCAGCAGCCCCAGGCACTGGCCCTCATGCATCCCGCTTCCCTGGCGCTGAGGAACAGCAACCGGGATGCGGCCATCCTGTTCCGGGTGAAGAGCGAAGTGCACCAGCAGGTGGCCGCCGGGCTGCCGCATCTGATGCAGTCCGCCGGTGGAGCAGCGGCCGCCGCCGCAGCAGCAGTGGCCGCGCAGCGAATGGTGTGCTTCAGCAATGCCAGGATCAATGGCGTGAAGCCGGAGGTGATTGGAGGACCGCTGGGCAACCTGCGGCCCGTGGGCGTGGGTGGCGGCAACGGAAGTGGCTCCGTGCAGTGTCCCTCGCCGCATCCTTCCTCCTCGTCGTCCTCGTCGCAGCTGTCGCCGCAGACGCCCTCCCAGACGCCGCCCCGTGGCACGCCCACCGTCATAATGGGCGAGAGCTGCGGGGTGCGCACCATGGTCTGGGGCTACGAGCCACCGCCGCCCTCGGCGGGTCAGACCCACGGCCAGCACCCGCAGCAGCAGCAGCAGTCGCCCCACCACCAGCCGCAGCAGCAGCAGCAGCAGCAACAGCAGCAGTCACAGCAGCAACAGCAGCAGCAGCAGGCGCAGCAGCAACAGACGCTGGGCCAGCAGCAGCACTGCCTCTCCTCGCCCTCGGCGGGCTCACTGACGCCATCCTCCTCCTCCGGCGGCGGTTCGGTGTCTGGCGGCGGAGTGGGCGGACCACTCACGCCCTCGTCGGTGGCGCCGCAGAACAACGAGGAGGCCGCCCAGCTGCTGCTCTCCCTGGGACAGACGCGCATCCAGGACATGAGAGCGCGGCCACACCCCTTCCGCACACCGCACGCCCTCAACATGGAGCGACTGTGGGCGGGCGACTACTCGCAACTGCCGCCCGGCCAGCTGCAGGCCCTGAATCTCAGTGCCCAGCAGCAGCAGTGGGGCAGCAGCAACTCCACGGGCCTCGGCGGCGTAGGCGGCGGCCTGGGCGGACGCAGCCTGGAGGCGCCGCACGAGCCGACCGACGAAGACGAACAGCCGCTCGTGTGCATGATCTGCGAGGACAAGGCCACCGGCCTGCACTACGGCATCATCACCTGCGAGGGGTAAGTACCCGCTGGCCACCGAGTCAGTTTTCCACTTCCAAGCGTTGGACATGGTAAGAGCCAGATCAGCTTGAGCCCGTGCACCCATTGCCACCCACAGCAGTCTGCCTCGCATGGCTAATGATCTTGCAATTCTCCAATTCTCCAATTCTCGCCAGGTGCAAGGGCTTCTTCAAGCGGACGGTGCAGAACCGACGAGTCTACACCTGCGTGGCGGACGGCACCTGCGAGATAACCAAAGCACAGCGCAACCGTTGTCAGTATTGTCGATTTAAGAAGTGCATCGAGCAGGGCATGGTGCTGCAAGGTGAGTACTTGGTCCACTGGCGGGAGCACGCGGATGCCTAACCGGGAAACCGCTCCTTTCCTTTCAGCCGTTCGCGAGGATCGCATGCCGGGCGGTCGCAACAGTGGCGCCGTCTACAATTTGTACAAGGTGAAGTACAAGAAGCACAAGAAGACCAACCAGAAGCAGCAGCAGCAGCAGCAGGCCGCCCAGCAGCAGCAGCAACAGGCGGCGGCGCAGCAGCAGCACCAGCAGCAGCAGCAGCATCAGCAGCACCAGCAGCATCAGCAGCAGCAATTGCACTCGCCGCTGCACCATCACCACCACCAGGGTCACCAGTCGCACCAGTCGCACCACGCGCAGCAGCAGCACCACCCGCAGCTGTCGCCGCACCACCTGCTGTCGCCGCAGCAGCAGCAACTTGCCGCCGCGGTGGCAGCCGCTGCGCAGCACCAGCAGCAACAGCAGCAACAGCAGCAGCAGCAGCAGGCCAAGCTGATGGGCGGCGTGGTGGACATGAAGCCCATGTTCCTTGGTCCCGCTTTGAAGCCGGAGTTGCTGCAAGCACCTCCCATGCACAGTCCGGCACAGCAACAGCAGCAGCAGCAGTCCTCGCCGCATCTCTCGCTCAGCTCGCCGCACCAGCAACAGCAGCAGCAGCAGCAGCAGGGACAGCACCAAAACCACCACCAGCAACAAGGCGGTGGTGGCGGAGGAGCTGGTGGAGGAGCCCAACTGCCGCCGCACCTGGTTAACGGAACGATACTGAAAACGGCCCTGACCAATCCCAGCGAGATTGTGCATCTGCGCCACCGCCTCGACTCGGCGGTCAGTTCGTCCAAGGACCGACAGATCTCGTACGAGCACGCCTTAGGCATGATCCAGACGCTGATCGACTGCGACGCAATGGAGGACATAGCCACACTGCCGCACTTCAGCGAGTTCCTCGAGGACAAGTCGGAGATCAGCGAGAAACTGTGCAACATCGGCGATTCCATAGTTCACAAGCTGGTGTCGTGGACAAAGAAGTTGCCCTTCTACCTGGAGATACCGGTGGAGATACACACCAAACTACTGACGGACAAGTGGCACGAGATCCTTATCCTGACCACGGCCGCCTACCAGGCGTTGCATGGTAAGCGGCGCGGCGAGAGCGGTGGCGGTGGCGGAGGCGGAGGCGGAGGCAGCAGGCATGGGTCGCCGGCGTCAACTCCACTGACCACGCCCACCGGCACGCCGTTGAACACGCCGATACCCTCGCCCGCCCAGCCACTGCACAAGGACGATCCGGAGTTTGTCAGCGAGGTGAACTCGCACCTGAGCACCCTGCAGACCTGCTTGACCACGCTGATGGGCCAGCCGATAGCGATGGAGCAGCTGAAGCTGGACGTCGGGCACATGGTGGACAAGATGACGCAGATCACCATCATGTTCCGGCGAATCAAGCTCAAGATGGAGGAGTACGTCTGCCTGAAGGTCTACATACTGCTGAACAAAGGTACGTGGTTCGATTTGCAAAACCCATTCATACAGTGCTCATGTTACCTTTTCGCTCGTTTTGTAAATCCAGCAGAAGTGGAACTGGAGAGCATCCAGGAGCGGTACGTCCAGGTGCTGCGATCCTACCTGCAAAACTCCTCGCCGCAGAATCCGCAGGCGAGGCTCAGCGAACTGCTCTCCCACATACCAGAGGTAAGTGACCAGTGACCAGTGACCACTAACCACATGTGCTCCTTGGCGACTCTCACATCCGACGAAGCCATCCTCTGTTCCGTGATTCATCATCGCTCTCCTCCATCCCCTTGCAGATTCAGGCTGCGGCCAGCCTGCTGCTCGAGAGCAAGATGTTCTATGTGCCCTTCGTGCTCAACTCGGCGAGCATAAGGTAGCAGATGCTTGAGCACGGACTGCTGCCCACCGCCAACCATCAGGCGGCGCCACCAGCTGGTCCTGATCCGATCCCGGAGCGGCAGCAGCAGCAGCAACAGGAGCGGCGTCGAAGCAGGCAGCAGCAGCATCAGTTGCTGCGCAACTTGCCCAAGATCAAGATCGAGATCGGTGCCCAGCGCGATCCGGAGGAAGGGGAGTCGGAGCAGGAGCAAGAGCAGGAGCAGGAGCAGGAGCACGAGCAGGAGCAGGAGCAGGAGCAGGATGAGCAGTCCCGACCCTCAGCCGCATCCACGTCCATTTTGAAGACTTCACTGCTGAGCGGAGCGGCGGCCACGTTGGCCACCCTGACGGCGGCAGCCGAGCAGATAGCCCGCTCCTCGGCCGGCTGCGAAACTGCCAGGGATTATTCCCACAGCAGCAACAGCAGCAGCAGCAGCAACACTGCCGCAGCAGCAACAGGATCCTTGGCCGGCGGCAGGACAGGCAGCAGCAACAGTTTAGAAGAGAGCAAAAGACTTGAGCATCAACAACAACAACAAGAACAGCAACAGCAACAGCAACAGCAACCACAACAGCATCAGCAGCAGCAACAATATACATCAATTCTACACACGGCCCTAATGTCACAGCGTTCCATGCCACCAGCGACATCAGCGGCGGCCACAGCGACGCCGACGACGTCGGCAACCACATCGCCCACGCCTGCGCATGTGCTGAAGACAGCGGTGACCTTAGCCAGTCTAAGTGAGATAGCCACTGCACGTCAGCAGCAGCAGGAGCAGCAGCAGCAGCAGCAGCAGCAGCAACTGCTGGCGTTGCAGCAGCAACAGCTAACGAAACTGCCCAGAAGGATCATCAACTTTGGCAGCAACTACTCTGCCCACACCGCCACCAAAGGATTGGGCGCGGTAGCAGAGGTGGGCATGGCCACAGCACCAGTTGGACGCACTCGCCAACTGGGCCCGAGTCCGGGCCAAGTGGTGAATGGTAAGCAGAAAGAATTGTGAGCCCTGTGTTTGCGATAACGTTTGTGTACCCTCCCCCCTAACGCTGCCAGCGAGGACAGCACGCCTGCTCAACGGCAACTGTTGCGGCCGATTGCAGGCGACAGCGGCAACAGGGGCCAGCAGGGGCACCAACACTGCCGGCAGCAACACGGTCAACACACAGACCCAGACCGACGATGAGTTGCTGCCGCTGCTGGCCATGCTGCCACAGGACGCTCCCACAGCAGCAGCAGCAGCAGCAGTTTCATTATCATTATCAGCCACAGCCACATCATCATCATCGACGATTTCATTAGCAACACGAGCAGCAGCAGCAGCAGCAATGCAGCAGCAGCAGCAACAATGGACTGCCGTGTCGACGACGCCAGCAACAGGAGTGATGATGACGACGACGACGACACAACCACAATCACAATCACAATCACGAGCAACATTAGCACCACAACAACAACAGCAACAACAGCAACTATTACTGCCACAACAAAAGCAACCATTTAATACGAGAATCAGCAGAAAAACAACATCAATTACAACAATTACAACAGCCACCACAACAGCACCAACAACAACAATAACAACACGAAACAGCAACATCAACATCAACTTCAACAGCAACAATAACTATATGAATAACAATAATATTAACGCCGCCACTGCCAGAGCCTCTGCCTCTGCCTTCGCCTCCGCCTCCGCCACTGCCACTGCCACGGCCACGCCCACAGCCACAGGGCAGCGCCAGCGACCGCACCCGACCACGCCCCCGCCACCGCCACCGCCCCCGCCCCCGCGCACGCCCACAGCCACCTCAGCTTCTGTTACTGTAGTTGTGTTCAAAACAATGTTACCTGATGACTGAATTATTTTAGAATCGTACACATAGAGCATGTTTTATTATGATTACCACTATGATTACCACTTACGATTTACGATTACGATTATGATTACGATTATGAGTACGTGCGGAGATCATTACCTATTAACTATTCATTAGTTATGGATTATCGATTATTACTATTTTTACTATTACTATTGCTACATGCATAATGTAGAGCCTAATTGATCTATCGTGTATTTTAGTTCGTCTAATTGTTGGATCCCTGTACTATATCCCACACACACACACACACACACACCCACACTCACCCATATTTGATCCTCACCCCCCAAACAATCCATACACACACACACCCACATACACTCACACACACCCAACCGTTACTAGGGAAGGGTATGCGCATATGCGAAGTTGAAACATTTTAATCATGTATTTTTTTTTTGTGTTTTTGCTGAAAGGAGATGAAAGCTGAGAAGGTCGAGCAACAGCAATTCGAAGTGTTAATTGAGTAGGATTATGAGTATGTACCGAGCATGTAAGGAGTATGTAATGACTAAGTAAAGTTTACGTAGACACAATGCCACATACAGCTATAGCAAGCATTTAGGATGCGTGCATATGTCAGTTATCTATTTTTTTTTTTAACTAAAATCTATATAAAGTAACGTGAGAGGAACGGAGAGCGAAGCAGGGCAGGAGATTCAACCACATAAAGTATAAATAGTAGAGCTTGAGCCAAGTAGCTAGTTTAGTGTACATCCGTTTTTGGGGCAGGGAAGTAGAGCAATTTGTCGACGAGACGGGGTGGTGGGGTGAGCGGTAACGAAGATCGGTAACGGAAGTGGATATAAAACGGAACCGGAAACGGAAACGGAAACTGGACTGCCAGATCGGAATCACACATCAACCATTATGAGAACTTCGCTCGCAACTCTTGCAGAATTATACTGTTAGATACTGTTAGTTATCGAACCCAAAACGCCCAACCCACACACACTATACCTAAGTTAAGAACGCATAATCACATACTACACATAAATTACGCATAGTACATACAAAAGAGAAGAGGAATGAGAAAACGAGAAAATGAGAAAAATGAGAAAAAAAACAAAGATAAGGAAGATAAGAAAGAAAGAAAGAAACGAAAGGACTTTTTTTTTGTAAGCTCGATTGCGCAATTGTATATCGTAATCGTGTTGTCGTCGCAACCCCAAACGCCCCATGGCGGTATTGATGCCCGGATTGTTATCGGTATCGTCGTACTACGTTTTATTTTGTAAATGTATTAATTTTGTTGATTTTTTTGCTGTCTGTACACATTTTTTTTAACAACATTTTTGAATAAATGTAATTCTTGAATATGCTTTATGTTTTTAATTTACTCTCAATCCCCACCAACTTTTGAGTTTCAATTGGTTTGTATATAAATCAAATAGGACTCCCTCCATTTAACAAATTTTCTTTATTAGAATTAACATTTTGGTTTCGAGTCAAAACCTTCGAGTTGGCAATGAATTCGTAGGCAACGGCATTTTTTAAATAACGCCCAATATAGAAATCCTTATAAAACTCGCCTTTAAACTATATTTCTACACACATTTTACGCGCTCTCCGTTTTCTACTTAAAAATTCCTCAGTGGCGCCACCTGCATTTAGAGACTCGAAATGTATGCACCGGAAATGGCAAAATCGGCTTGAAAGAAAATTGGTAGAATCTCTTGTGAATAGGAAACCCCAATAAAGAAGAAATCCTTGATGCCCAGTCCTGAAACTCAAATCCTCCCGATATAAGCTCTGTCAAATAAAAAAAACGAATCCTAGAGCTGAGAGGGGAAACAGAAATAGAGAAATTAAGAAAAAATAAAACACGAAAACAATGTTATTCGGATAAAACCGAAGAACACAAGATGAGAAAATATGCAAGAGTCTGACATCAAATTGCCTTCAAAGCGTTATTTTTGATTTTTTTTCCGTAGAGAGTTTTTTTACGAGAAAACGATGCAAAAACCAATACGAAATACCAAATAGCAAGGATATTTAGAGTACGTATATATGTGGATTTACATAAGCGATGACATAATAATCATATGAATATGGAAAAAAACGGCAACGGACGGACGGCTAAAAGGATTAACATTTTTTGTAGAGTAATTGCAGGATAAACAGCATCTGGAGGAAAAGAGTCAAAATAAAATATTTTTGCACAGCGTGTTATCGAATAAGTGTTAGACTTTAAACGTAACTGTAATCGAGATTCAAATCAATCAAAGAACCCTTCCCTCCCCTTTCCCTTTCCCTTTTCCCTTCCCTTCCTTTCCTTTCCTTCCCCTCCTTTCCCAACAGATCCATCCCCATTAACTCCCAGTTCCCCACCCCGCCCATTTGATTATTAGGGCTAGGGTCAGATGGACAATTGCTCCCGCTGGAGCAGAAGTGTCTTTGTAAATACATGAGAATAAGAAGTGGGACTTAGTGGGGTCCGAAGACCCCAATCGTTCCATCTGGCATCTCGAGATATAACATTAGTTAGCTAATTTTAACGACTTACACTCCCGGACTCACCAACTGCAGTCACCTGCCTACCCAGCTGCGACTTTTCGTAGATAAACTGTTTTACCCAAAGAAAACGAACACAAACAATATTTAAATGCTCAACTTCACCACATGACCCAGTCACCCAGTCACCCACTCAACCACACCCGCATCCAACTCACTCCGCTTGCCTAGATCCATTTGCATCCCGGGAAGGAACCCATGTCCACCATTTCCCCATAGTGTATAGCGCGGATGCAAAATGAACTTCTTATGGTGCTTAATCTGGATCTTGATCTTGAGAACAACCCAAGCCTAGAACTCAAATTATGGGACTGATGCAATGAAACAAAAAGAAAACAATGAAGAAATAAGTAAATGGGCTAGGGAAGAAATCTAATTAAACCCATATATGTATACTAGGTGTATATGTGTATTGATTTAAAGATTCAATAATTAAAACGAAGTAGATCCTTCCATATGATAAAAGCAAAAAAAAAAAAAAAGAAGAAAAAACAAGAGTAAACTCTAGGGAAAGATCTCGCTTCTGAGGCCATTGTTATACTCTTTGAATTTGTGTATACCCCAGAATAGAAAATTGTGAAACCAAATCCAAAGAAAATCGAAACATAACCAATCGCCGTGGAAAATTATAGAAATACTGTTTTTTTTTGTGCATTTCTAATTCTACATAGCGGTCGCCAGCGACTTTTACCTTTTATATAAGTATACAATATGGTTTTTGTTTCGTTTTGGATTTGATATGAATGTTACACGATGGATTGATATTGATTGATTGATTAGTGAACGTTTGATGTAGTGGTAACCAAAAAGAATAATTTAAATGATATATTGATGTAATGCATAAGAGAAGGAAACACAAACGGCAACAGAACCGCAAATGATAATGAAATGAAAATGAAATGTTAGCAAATATAAAACAAAAAATAACTAAAACGAACTAAGCCCGTAATTGAGAATTTTTAAAGCACGATTCGAGATCACATATAAATTTAATAAATTACACATGTATTAATAATGAAATGATGTATTTACGAATAAAATTAATATTATCACATGAATCATATTAAGTTATCCAGTCTATTTAAAAAGCTCGGACGGAAACTGTGACTCCATCACGATTTTGAAGGTCTTTTTGGCCACCATCTTATCTTTGTCGAAAATGAAATCACTGTATAGGCAAGGAGTTAGTAAGGTTCTGCTTTGGCAAAGGCACGAAGGTGGTACTTACTCCTCGTTGGCCAAGGTCACATTGATGCGATCGGTGGATACCCGTGTGGGACGTATGGCTCCAAAGAAGTCTGTGATGGGCACCTTGTGTGGATCCCGGCGGTACAGATCCTTGCGCACTCCCACTGTCGAAATGCACACTCGCTTGGGGCACACTTGCAACTGTTTTCAAATTGCAGGATTCATAATTATTGGTACTTCTTGAAAGATTCAAGACGACACTCACAAATTCGCCTATGGTCCGTTTGCTAAAGGGCTGCACCTTCTCCAGGAACTCCAGAGCGTAGTAGGTGTACCGGTCTATCATGTAGACTCCAATCGATGGATCCACATGGTGCTGAAGGTTGAAAGTTAGGTACACGGAAATCGTTATTCTTCAGAGTCTTACCGATAAGGAATCCTCGCCAACAAGACTGCTAGCCACTGCCAGGACATTCGGCGAGGTGAATTTCTCGTAGAGCGAAGCTGCTTGGCAAGTGTCCACCATGAAGAACAGCTCATTGTACCTGAAGAAACAGAAATGATAAGTTTATAAGAATAAGGAATGTTTTCATAAGAATCCTAATGGTTAGGTAGCTATGGGAAATTCATTATCGCACCGCTTCTTCTCCCACATCTGTTGGATGCCGTCGGCCAACTCCTGGCTGGTTATCTCCTCCGAGTCCTGGAACTTAAGGAATCCATCGCCCCCGTGTCCGGTTAGGTAGATGAGCACATTGCTGCCCGCGTCCGAGAGCAGCTTCTTCGAGCGCGCCGTGCCGTTCTGGGTTCGCCCGGTCAGCAGACGCACAAAGTTCTCCACTGTGACCTCGTAGCCGCGGTAATCCACCTCGACATCGTCTCCGTACACATTGATGTGCTGGTTGGCGTTGTTGTACACCTGGCCCGGTCGTGGGTTCCGGGCATTACAGGCCATGTCGTCGGCGATCATCAGGATGATCTGGGAGTCTGGAATGCCCAGTCTCTTC